CATCTGCTACAACAATAAAACAAACCACAGCATCCTACAGCATTTCAGAAGCTGAAATCTACAATGACTTTGAAACAAAAGAATCCCCCTATGATGACACCAAACTTTACACTGACTGCAACTTTGAAATCACAGAATCACATACTGACCTTCCACTTGGCTTTGAAACTTCCTATTCTCCTGATTACTTCTATGAAACTGAAAGTAACTGCCCAATTGACAATATTGACTCAAACTACATATATTTTCAGCACCATTCCAGAAACTCATCTAAAGCGTCATACCATCATCCAAACACTGGAATCATGAATTAATTTCTTATACTAGTACTGCATCTATTACCCTTCCCTTCAGCATCCTCATTTGTAGATCATTTGTAGGATGTTCCTCCCTATTTCGAAAAATCACACCCAAGCTTATTTTTTTAAAACTCATAATATGTGTGTACTTTTAATGTTGAGTTGAAATTTTTCTACACAAACAGAATACACGTTACAACACCCTATCAAGCTTAACCCCATTGCATGCAGAAATTTTATACAATATATGCACATTTGTGATGACATTATATAGTAAACTTTATCACTTATGACCAAGGGCCAACTCACTCTGCCAAGAAGTCTGGACATATTTTCTTGATACCCCTTCTAAAGAAAACTTTGAAAGGTTAGTAAAAACCTATATGGTTTTATTCTATTTAGTAGCATTTTAGGTATACTTAATTCAGTGGCTGTCCTTTGGTATCTACCAAACTACTCCATAGAAAAGTAGCTCTGCATTAGGCCTCCAAGCATATGCCCTAGTTTCCTCTGGGATAGTACAAATTGGTCAACAATTTTAAATCCTTTTGTAAATTTAGAAAGACAAACAAATGTTAACTCAATTCAACCCATATTTATTGCTCTGTCACATGCAAGGTACTATGCTGGGAGCTTACAGAGAATGGAAAAGTTGAGCAACACAGAGAATCTTCCCTGAAATCTAATATCTCAAAACAATAACACAAATAACAATAGCATCAGTCAACGTAGAATAAAATAAATAAGAAAATCATAAATTCCAAAAGGGCTTCAGGGATGGAAAAGACTGACTTCAAATTAGAGGAACAAAGAAATACTTAATGAAGATTGTAGCATAAGGAAGGAGGATCTTGAATAATGAGTAGAACACTGACAGCCAGAGATGAAAAGGTGGATTTTAGGTGGAGAGAATACCATAGACAAACTCAGAAAAACAAGATGAAAATGCACTTTGGCTCTTTTCTGACCTTTTGCGCATACATCCATTTTACCTGTGCTACATTATATGGTGAGTGGATACTTGCTGGGTTTCCCACAGAATGTAAGCAGGGACTTTGTCTTATTCACTTTTGTAACCTAGCACCAAGTACAAATCCTAGCCCAGTGCCACCTAAGTATATGTTTAATAAATATCATTGGAATTACAATGCATCAGGAAATGCTGGATGTTGTTTCCAATTATTAATTTATTCAACCAAGCTATCACTATAATTAATTACAATCATATGTCTCAAATCCTTTTGATGTTGGGATTGAAGTATCAAGAGGAAAAAGGAAAGATAGAAGATTTCCAGTCTGGATTATCCTTTCATGGCCAAACAGATGCCCTTAGACTGGGATTCACAAAGAGTGCCTTGGGTCTGGGTAATTACAGATCATCCTATATCCATTGGGTATGGTTGAGTTGGGGAGAGGGCACATTTCTTGGCTTGAGAAATCCTAGAAATTCAGGATCATATAAATCACTAGATAATTCCACCAAGATTCCTATCAACTGGAAATTCTTATCCTGGGTCTTCATAGTTTGGCTCTCAGGAGATTCATGAAACCTCTGAAATTGCCTGATAAATGTTGTATTCATCAGTATATATGCATTTTCTTGAGGAGATGTGTGCATAGATTCAATCAAGTTCTCAAAAGGGTCCATAACCCGAAGAAAATCAAAATTAAAACCAAAACAAAAAAGATCAAGGAATGCCTAGACCTTCAGGGCTAAGAGATGTCACCTGTAGTTCATAAAACACTTTAATGAATCCTGATACCCTAAGTCATTTCAGAAACATAAATTATCTCACTGTTTTTGCTGATGCCTCCTTGACTTGAAGTGATTTGGGAATTTTCCCCCTTTTATAGTATTTATTTCCTGATACTCAACTCCCTAATTACATTACTGCAAGATATCTGCTTTCAGACTTAAAATTTCTTGTCTAAGAAATTACTCAGTCTTCTTAATTTTGCTTGTTTATTATGGTCTAATCCCACTGACTGTTTGGTTTCCTGGCTAGGGCATGTCCCATTCCAGCTTGGGGTTGGAGGCATGTCTGCAACAGGCAATCAACGCACTGTCAGGTCCCTGAATCACCTGATGCCCAGACAGTCACAATGATTCAATCCGAATGAGCTATTCACCAGAACCATACTCTAGACTGGCAATAGAACACAGGTCTCCTCACCTGAGCCCAGGAAGAACACTGTGTAAAATTCAACTCTGCCTCTACCAAAAAGAAAAAAAAATAAAATACAGGAAGCCCCTCACTCTGCACATTCACTGAAAATAATGCCCAGGGGAAGTAAACTCCCCAGTGTCATGAGCTTCCTTCCATACAATGTGCTTGCTTGAATATTTAATGTCCCCCAAACTAAAACTTGAATGAGGGCAGGAAATTTTTTCTGTTCCATTCACTGTCTTAACAATGGGACAGAGACTGAAACAATGATAGAGTTCATATGTGTTAAATGACAGAGTGCTATATATTAAATGATGGGTTGGAAAAATAAATGGAATGAATAAAAGAAAGAGTGAATTTGCCTACGAAATCCTGTGAGAACATAAAGTTGCTTCCTCTTGACATCCTTCAGCATTTACGCTCCATTGTTCCTCTCAGTATCACCCCTTTTATCATGGTATTCTCTGTCTCATTAATCATTTATTCTCCAAATCCACTTCAAACCTCATCTCTTCTCTAAATTCTTTCCTCAGCTTAACCTTGCTCTGGGTGCTATAGTATATACCTCTACTACGTATTCATCAACATGCAGTGACCATCTGGTGCTTTGAAATATTATAAACATAGAAGACTAAAGAAATATAAGACTCCCCAGGAACTCCCCATCTAGTTCAAGAGAAACAAAAATTCAAAAATAATACAGGAGCTATATAAAATAGTATCTTACCAAATACTAAAATGAGTAACTGAAACAAACAAAAAAAAAATGCCATACGTAGTTAAAATAGGTATCTCTCTAGTCCTATTTCCACTGCTCATCTTGTGACAGGGAACAATAACGTCACTCCTTCAGATCTAGACCCGTGATCTGGCTGGGAGCTCACTTCACATTCTTTTTTTTTTTTTTTTTCTCTTTATTTTCATAGCAGTTTTAGTTTTACAGAGAAATTGAGCAGAAAGTACAGATCATTCCCACAGCCTCCCCACACATATACACACTTTCTCCTATTATTGTCATGTTACATTAGTGTGGTACTTGTATTACAATTATGAACAGTATTGATATATCCTATTAACTTAATTTCACATTAGGGTTTCCTCTTTGTACTGTACAGTACTGTACTGTACTGGGGTTTACCAGTACATAATGTGATGTATTCACCATTGTAGTACCGAGTAGAATAGTTTGCTGCCCTAATAATTTGCATTCTGTGTGAGTTTCTTTCTATTCTTCAGACCCCAGCTCAAGGGTGGCCTCCTCTGTTAAGCCTTCCCTGCCCTTCCCCCCACCCAGCAAAATTAGCCCCGCTGTCCTTCACACCTGTGCTACATGTACCACACATGTGGCTGCTCGTGAACCTTTGTGTTTCCCCTCCTAGGCAGTGTTCCCCATTCCTAACAGAATAGCTGTCAGATATTGAATAGTTAGAGAAAAACTTTAGAGAACGCTTCATCATCTCAGTCAATTTTCCATTTACAGACACTTTACTGTTAAAAAAATAAATAGAAAAGCTGAACTTCAGGTGGCCTTCTGTGTGAAATCCTGGTATGACACAGATTCATCATTGATTTGGTCTCAGAAATTGTTCAAGAGATCCTACCTTCCTTCTGTCCCTCTGTGGCATATCTCAGAATCTCCAGGTGAAGCCCAGAGCCCTGAAAATAAGCAAAATAATTCAACATTTCTGGAACATTTGGCCATATTTATTGAAATTTAAATGTATACATCCTTTAATATGGTATATCTAGGAATACCACCTACAGAAATACTCCCATATATGAGAGCTCATAAACTGAAGCACTTTTATAATTACAAAATAGAAATGGATTTAATGTCTACCAAAAAGAAAAGAGAATGTAACATAATATAACCATTAAATAAATGAAATAAATCTATGTGTACTAACACATAAAGTTGTCCATTATTTGTGAGGTAAACAAGGTAAGTTACAGAGTAATACACACAAGAGACTTCTTTTTTTAACTATACACAGAGTCCTATATTTTGCTGTGAGATTTATATGTTCATACTTAGATGATAAAACAGATACATCTGGGAAATTATTCAGGAAGAAGATGGAGGTGAAGAAGAATTTTAATTTTGTTATTGTCTGCACTTTTTTAATTACACAAGGCATGTCTCCCTGAAATACCCTCTATTCAAATGGTAGACATTGGGTAATATAATGTCTGCAGCCAGTAACCCACCTAATGAAGTGTTGGAAAATGAAAGAAAACAAATGATTTCACAGACAGCTAAATCCTGATTGGTGTCTCAGTTGCCAGTCTCCTGGAGCTGAGTTTAAATTCCTTCTACAAACTCATAAGTCATCAAAGGGTAAAATTTTTCTCCAGAGTAAACTGGAAAAATCAACTTTCTATACATTTTGCCTGGTGGAGTCAAAGGTAACATTAATTGGCCATGCTTCAAATAGAGAATCCATTTTTTGTTTAAGTATCATCTTCTCTCAAAAGAAAAAAAATCGAGTGAAAGACCAACACTGTTTTGTTGTTATAGGTAGCAATTTGAGACATGAAGACTGCGATTCTCCTGTTTTGTCTTCTGGGATCAACTCAGTCATTACCAGTAAGTGTGTGTGTTTATTTTATGTACCACCCAGCCTCAGCAGCATCTCTAGCTGTGGACCTATCTCTGTTCCTGTCCTCCATCAAAATTGCTCTGTTCTGTGACCCATTCTCTTAGTTTCCTGTTTTTATTTTCCAAGGCAAAAGATAACAAACTAATAAGATATTGATGCATATTTAAATATATTGCATTTTTAAATGCCTCCACTCTATCATGGTAGAATTTCAATTATTTTGGCAGAGCAATAGGGTAGAAATTAGGAGACAAAGGAATGCCTTAGATTATATCTACTCAAAGTGAATAATTAGTTTATTTTCCAAAAAGAATTTAAGATTTTTGTGGTAACTAGTTATGTGATTATGACTGAAAAGGTAAACTATATTTTTTGATTTTCCTAATTGGGAATATGAAATGTCTAAGCTGTATAAACTCTAAACGGCTGCTAAATTGTATGATACCAAAGGCATATTATAAAGTGGTCAGCATTTTTGACTTACAACATTTCATCACAAAATGTGTTCACATATAACAGGCTTCTGATAGAAAGGAGCACTAGTCCTCCAATGCTTACTCCAATTGTCCACCATTATTTTGTAGACATACAGATGAGTGGTTTGGATCTCTAAGTGGACTTCTCTTTGACTGTTCAAGATGCTTGATTATAGACATTAAAAATGTAATTACAAGATATTTGCTATGAAATAGCAGAACAAAAAGAAACCATTCTTAATCAATCCTCAAACTCAGTTGATGCTTCAGTAGTCATCCATGCAATCAACAAGTATTTATTGAAAACCCTGTATGCCAGACATTGCACTAGTTGCTGAAGATACAATAAGAGAAAAAAAAGACATGCTCCCTCATGATGTTCACAAGGACTGTAGATATTAATCAAATAGTTTTTTTAAGTTATTTAAAATGTTAAATTATAAATAACTTGGATTAGTTCTGTGAAGGAAATGAACAGGGTGAGTTTGTAGGGAGATGGAACAAGACATAAATAACCAACCTCCCTCTTACTTCACTTTGAATATGCATATGTCCTCCTTGAAAGAAGTTGTCTGTGAAAATTTAATCTTCTAAACAATGTACAGTAGGTAGTTAGTTTTTTTGGTAAAACAAATGGATCTTTCACTTCACCAAATAAATTTACCAAAAGGTTCTTCGACATAGAGTCTCTCTAGTATATTTAAACTACCATGCAATTTGTAAAAGCTCAAGATAAACAAAACTTTCCAGCAGCACAGCCCTCCTGCAAGGTGCACTGAGAAGTAGAGTGTAGGCTAATTCAGACTAATAATAACCAATAATGTGAGAGCAGCTAGATAGTGGGGTGGAAGGTGGGGGAGGTAACACCGATGTCTATTAGGTGTAAAAACAGTATTTATCAAATGAAAAGTCAGGGCACATGGACAAGTTAATTTTTATTGTTTGTAAACAAATTTATTGAATTACCATAAAGGCATAAAAAATAAATCCAACTGCAAATTAGGACACATAACAACAGCCTAGTGATTATTTTCTGTAGATCAAAATCTGGGAATGAGTGTCAGACAGAGAATACTAAGAGTAGAAAGAAGGGAAATAAGACAAAGTCACAGGAAGTGGATGCCCTGGAAGAAAACAAGATTTCATTCTCTCAACAACTGTTTGTTGAGTGTCTACTGTATGCTAGGCACTGATTTATCTGTTTGGGATGTATCATTAAGTAAAACACAGTATTTCTGCACTTGTGAAGTTTACATTTTAGCAAGGAAACAAACAGTAAATGATGAACATCTTAAATCAGTAGATTACATAACATGTGAGAAGGTGGGGAGTGCTGTGGAAAACAGAGCACAGGGCAAAGAAAGATGAAGCAGGCCAGAGGCAGGGACTTGGGAGCACACACTAGAGATACTGGAAATGGGGCAGCTTGTCTATTCAAGAGAGTGGTCAAGGTAGGCCTCAATAAGAAGGTCAATTCAAGTAAAGACCTGAAGCAGGTGAGGGAGTGAGCCACTGTCTGGGGGAAGAGCATTCCAGACAGAGAGAACAGGTGGAGGTGAGATCCTGAGGTAGGAGTGGGCTTTACCTGTCCCAGAAACGGCAAGGAGCCTGGATGGCCACAGCAGAGTGAGCAAGAGGAAATGAAATGGTGCATAAGGTCAGAGAGGCACTGAGGACCCAGAACGTGAGGGTCTTGTAGGCCACTGTACAGTCTCTGGCTTTTACTCTGAGTGAGACTGGCAGTCGATGCAGGCACTGAGCAGAGGAGTGCCGAGGTTAGACTATTGTTTTCAAAGGGTCACTCTGGCTGTTGTGCTAGCAATAGACCGTAGGGAATGAAAAGACTTATTTACAAAATTTATATCTACATAATCTTAAAGCTGATAGGGACCTCCAAGGATAGATAATGACAACTTCTCCTCTTACAACTAAGGGGAAGAGTCCAAAGTGAAACCAAGAGTTTGTGGCTGCTCCAAGGTAAACCCAAAGTGACCCAAGGGCTGATGCAGGGCTGGAGAGCCATACCCCACTACTCTCTGGGACACATCCAGAAGCAAAGGCAGACTGAGGTCAGCCTGGCCAAGGAAATCGTTTATTCTTTCAGGGACTAGGACCACTTGCAGAGATCCTAGAACTGGCTCTGCCACTCACCATGTCACGTTGGGCAGGTTACTGGGCTTCTGTAATACAACTAGGCCATATGGACAGGAAGGGCATTTTCACCCCAGAATTTATTGATTCTCAATACACTAGGAAAATATCCTGGTGAGGAAAGAAACTGAACTTCCACTAATGAGCAACATGTCAGGCATGAGGCTAAACTGGGAAGATTCATGAAAATTATGTCTAAATTATACAGCTTTACCTTCAATCATTGAGAAAAAGCAAAATGTGCCCCAGAGACTATATATATTTCATGTCCTGGCAAAAGAGAAAGGCAGTTACAGAAAAAGGATGGGAGCCAGGAACCACCACCAGAAATTCCATGTGCCCTTGACCCCCCTTTCCTCCACCCCACCCTCACAACCCTACCCTTTCTGATACATTTTTTCACTCTATAATTCCATCTCTTGCCATGCATAAAGTGTTGCAGGGATTAAAACACACAGAGTTTAAAGACAGACATTTTTGCATTTGGGACAATCTGTTACCTTCTGGACGTAAAGGGATACAAGACCTCAAACATATTCCTGCCTCATCAAATATTTGTTTTCACAGAAGCAGCTCAATCCTGCTTTGGGACTTCCTCCAACAAAGGTGGCTCTGAATCAGGCAACACCACTCAACCAACAGCAACCAAATCAAGTAAGAGTTATACAACAGGGAAAATGTACAATTCAAGTAAAGACTAGAAAATGTACAAACCAGCAAAGAAAACATGTTAAGAATGATGGATTCAAAATCAATATTTACACAGAGCCTCATGACTAAACAAGAGAGAAAGAGGCTTTCTATTTGAGAGAGGGGAAAAAAGAACCAATACATTTTTTGGAAAAGATTGAATAGGAAAAGCACATCATCCTCACTCTTTTTCCTTTTGTCTGCATAATAATTTGGTTTAGCAACCACATCTAGCAAACCTTAAAAAGCAATAGCTTTGCTTATTTACAAAGCTTGGTTGTCTATACCCTTGAGATACTCTGACATATCATGTGTGGGATTTACCAGAGATAGCAGGGCATCAGAGGCGATCTATAAAAATAACTGCAGATGGTTTTCTTAAGTTTCATTGTTGCTGACGAGCTGATAAGTTACTTTCTTTGAAGCATATTTAAATACTTTTGAAAACTGCATTATCACTTGGCTATTACCCTTCCTCCCACTCCAACGCTTCCTGTGCTGTAAAGGACCCTGCCTTATCTACATCTAGATTTTGTGAAATAGTACAGCCAGATGTCTAAAGTCTTCTTTTTAGTCCAGGGACAAATCTCACTCCTTAAGGATCGAGAAGCTTATACAATTTAGGGAACTGCTGTAAGAAAAAGAATACAAAATTAGGTGTGTAAAATTAGGTACCAAAATGAATATTTATAATGACATAAGAAATAAGTAAATCACAATTTTTTAAGGCTGATTAATACCATAAACATAACACATTGCTAGGGCACCTCCCAAGTTTGTGAAAAAGGGCAATGCTAATGAGAGGCCCTAAAGCTTCACCTTCATTTACCTTCATGATAAATCCACCTCTGACGGGAGTATAGATTAGTTAAGGTTATTCACTGTGGAAACAGACAACCTCTTGTCTCACACATCAATTTCAATACCCTGCAGGTCTTCCCTTCCTTAAGTCTGATACCATTAACACAGATGCTCACACTGGGGTCAAATCTGCAACTGGTAAGTACTCTTTTATATTATTTTAATATTCATTGTTAAATAAATATAATGCCTAGCATTATGCATATATGTGTGTATGTGTATACATGCAGATATGGGTGTGTACACCCACAAATGTACACAAATACATATTCATTGTAGATAAGTTGAAAGAGAGAAGACAGAGAAAAAAAGTCAGAGAGTTGGACACTCTTCAATACATCATAAAAATCTTTTCTTAATAAGAGAGTCTCTAAACGAATCGGTCTAATTCCCAAGTCTTTACTTCTCCAGTTTCTCTCACCTCTTCTCCAATCTCCTCTCCCTATTCCTCCAACATACCTTCTTTGATGCCCCTATAACTTCGACACACCCTCATAAACACTATGACTGCTATCATCACCCCAACAACAGGAGCAAAGTAGATAGACAGATCTTCAGTCTTCTTATAAAATATCTGTATAATTCACTATGTTTGGGGGAGAAAAATAGTGAGTTCCCTTCCTGATTAAAGTGAATTTTTCTCCAGTGGCCAGATTGAAATATAGTATTAGTTCATGTTCCAGGCTAGATATTTTATTCTGACCCTCAAAATTTTCATGGAGATACCTATAAAGGAGTTCATTTCTTCATTAAAAAGCCATCAGAAAAATTCCAGGAACCATTGCTATTATAGCCAAAAGCGGGGAGCAGAGATAAAATCATCAAGAAATTCTCAAAGAAAATGGGCTAAATGCCAAAGAAAAACTTAATATCAGAAAAGTTGGTCCTGGACCTTGTGGTTGTACTAGCAGGCTAAACAAGTCTTTGAATTTCTTCTCTATATCTAATTCCTGAGACAATAGAATTTTATGTGTTTACATAGCAAATCTTCCTTTAAACATAATTTACATTTAGTAAATACATTTTAGTTTTCTGAATGTACAAGTTGAAAAAAAAATGAAAATATTCTTTGTCACCCCACAGCTACATCCTACTGCAGGAATGACTCCTGGTGCCCAGACCCTGCCACTGACCCTGGGGGCATTGAATGTACAACACCATCTGCAACCACAAGTAGGTTCAACACGTTCAGTCTAACTTTGGAGAACACTTTCTCTCAGGTGGAGGTCTAAAGGAGAGAAAGAATTTTTTCAAGCTTCTCGAAAATTTTACCTATATAATTTGCAGACAGATTTTCTACTGAACACAGTATTTGGCAATTTGGTTCTTGCTGAAAACATACCCAGAAAACTGAACATGCTGCCCCATAACCTTTCTAGAATACATTTGTAATGGGTAAGAGGAAACTGTGAAGAGTTGAGGAAGACTGAAAAGTGAAGGCTGTAAAAAAGGAAAGCGAGAGGTATCAGGATTTTCTCTCCAGCATGTTCTGTTTTCTACTGAAGACTTTCTGGGTGATCAAGATCATCCCAAAGAAAAATTAAGAGGTGGATGAAGTTTATCTTCAGCAAATCTAATCTTCTCCTTTTTGTACACAAAAGTCCACAAGGACTATCTAATTATTTCTCACCTCTTACCATCACTTGTTTTCAAGAGAAACCCTGTAAAAACTTCTCACCCGAAGACATAAATGACATACTTTAGGCATCACTCCTTTTGGCAGGGTTTGCATTTTAAAAAGAACAAAATCCAAATGTTTAGCTTCTTGAAACTTCTCTAAATAGCTTAACAAGCTCTGGAGAAAAATACAATAATCCTTGTATGGCTACACTAAGCTGTTAGTGGATAGCTTATTTTCCCCAACATGTGACCTTAACCCCCATCATCCTCACATAATGTTCTAATTTTTTTGTAGAAGTGTTTATTGCTTATTATCTAAGTAACATATGTTCATCATAAAGAATTTAGAAAATACATATAAGGGTACTACGAAAATTTCACAGAAAATAGAATTAAAAGATAATATAAATCTTTTCATGAACTTTTTGAAGTACCTTCATATAAGGAAAAAGGAAAAATACATCCCATCCCTAATCCTGTCACCCAGAATCAAACCCTATCAACATTCTAGGAAATGTCCTTTCAGTCATTTTTCTATACATATGAGTACGTTCTTAAAAGAAAATATGTTATTACTATATTTAATGTTCTGTAACCTGATTTTCTCTATTAAGCACATTTTGAATTATTTTCAAGTTTTGAAATATTCACTTATAACATTGTTTTTAATAACTGCTTACTATGCCATTATGTACTAAGTTCCCTATTGTGAATATTTGTATGTTTTCCCAAACTTTTTGCCTCTTTAAATAATGGTAAGCTAGGGGCCGCCCGGTGGCGCACTGGATAGTGCGCCGCTTGGGAAGCGCGGCAGCGCTCCCGTCCGAGGGTTCGGATCCCACGTACAGACCGGCTCGCGCTCACTGGCTGAGTGAGGCGCGGGAGCAACGCCGAGGCTTGCGATCCTGTCGCCGGTCCCCGGTCCGGTACGGGGGCAACACTGAGGGTTGCGATCCGTTGCCGGACACGGAAAAAAGACAAAAAAAAAAAAAAAAAAAAAAAAAA